CGCTCCACAGCCCCGTTCCCGCCCCTTCTCCCTCAGGCAGCCGCCGGGCCCGCCCCGCATCAGGCGGGATTTTAGCCGGTTTGTATCACCTGCTGTCCTTTTCCCTAATGGCACTTCTCCTCCGGGGACACCCTTCACTCCCGGTCTGCTGCAAGACCTCACCCCGCCACCTCAGCCATCTATCCCCTCCCCCTACAGACACCCAGCTGGGCCCACAGCCTGCCAAGGTTCAGGTTTTGGGGTTTTTGTTTGTTTCTTTTCAAACGGCACTGAAAACACCCTCCTTCATTTCCAGGCCTTCGCTAACACCCTGCAGGGCACACTCAGAGTCATAGAATGGTTTAGGTTGGAATGGTCCCCAAAGATCATCCAGTTCCAACCCCCCTGCCCTGGGCAGGGACACCTCCCACCAGCCCAGGTTGCTCCAAGCCCCGTCCAACCTGGCCTTGAACACCTCCAGGGATGGGGCAGCCACAGCTTCTCGGGGCAACCTGCGCCAGGGGCTCACCACCCTCAAAGGAAAGAATTTCTTCCTAAGATCTCATCTAAACCTCCCCTCTTTCAGTTTAAAACTGTCACCCCTCCTCCCATGGCTCCCCTCCCTGATCCAGAGTCCCTCCCCAACTCTCCTGGAGCCCCTTTAGCCACTGGAAGGGGCTCTGAGGTCTCCCCAACGTCTTCTCTTCTCCAGGCTGGACACCCCCAACCCTCCCAGCCTGTCCTCCCAGCAGAGGGACTCCAGCCCTCCCAGCATCTTTGGCACCATAACCCCATTAATTGCGTTATACAGCAACCAACTTGAGGGCATTGCAGTTCACAGGGGAGAGGCTGTTTGGGAAGTAGCCTACTGCTCAGGTCTTTAATTCCGGCATTCCCTGTTGATTTGCAATCCGCCTTTAAACCCTGATCCCATGAAATGAGTCTTCCTGCGGAGCCACCCATACCCAGCTGAGGAAAGCTGATGGTGCCATCCTCTAAAGGGCGGTACTAAATGCTGGAGTTTCCCTGTACGCCTCAGGTTTTAACCAAGAAACTACCAGAAAAGACACACTGAACATCACCAGTTCTAACCCCAGTTTTTATTTTTTCACTCAAGTCAACAATCTATTGTCAAAATAAACTGAGACCCAGAGAGGACACTGACAGCTTCTGCCTACTGCATAGAGACACAAAGCGCAGCAAAGGAGGGACCACATCATCTTCATTTCCAAACCTTTCTGCTTTCGAGTTACCTTGCAGATCATTAATTTTATGCAACCCCTGTCAGAAACATTGTTAGACACCCCCCAGATCTGTCAGGCTTGTGATCCCAGTTGTAACTAGAGACTTAACTGAGCATCAGTCTCTCCCTGAGGGGCCACCCCTATAATCTGTTAAAGCAGTATATCTATATATATATATTTAGTTTTGCGTAGAGACCCGAGATTGGCAGTTTGCCACAAAAATCCAACCTGTGAGGCAGACATCATGCCAGGCAGGCAGAGACGAGCTCCGCCAAGCGCTGCTGAGGTTTATTTTCACCCCTTTGGAGGAGGCAGCCGTTCCTGTAGGAGCTGACAGAGGGAACAGCCTCTTCTAGCCATACCTCATGGCAGCCCAGCACACAGGAATCCAGCTACAAGCAGTGGCAGGATCATCTAATACTAAATTAATCAAGTTGTTTCGGTAGAGGGATATACTCCTTTTTGCTAACTCCACCATAAACCATTGCGGCCATAACAGAGTCGAGGGATAAGGTCACTTCAGACCACAGTAATCACCCGGTCAATACCTTACGCTTTCCATTCACTGTAACCTGAATGGGGGGGGCCAAGAGGGCTCAAAACTGGTTAAACTATTTACAGTGGTGTGTCTCTGTGACAAAAAAAAAAAAAAGAAAAGAAAAAAGAAAGAAAATAGATAGATTTGTACCACCACTTTCCTTTTTGCATCCAGAGGCACACAGTACTGCAGTGACTCCTGTAACCTCTGATGAACACTCAACTGTCAACTCCACTGTCGCTAAGGAACAGATGCAACAGCCTCATAGAAACCACAAAGCTCTTCTCAGGACAACTGAGAGCACGCTTCAGAGACTGCCTGGACACCCGCCCAGGAAAGGAAGAACACAGAAAGCCAGGTCACTTGGTGACCGGGGAAGGATCCCCACCCTCTGACAGCACCGCAGGTTGGCACTGAGGACACCACCACGTAAGTCTCTTAAAGCCACCTGGGGGTCCAAGGGTTGCCTTCATCACTGCATGCCCAAGTGGACACTGCTCCTTCTGGTAGATCTGTGGGTGCAGCCCTTCGCCGTGCAGTTTGTTGTGCAGCCAGTCAGAGCTGAACCGAACTGCACAGTCAAGCAGACGCTCCAGATCCGAGACGGCCAAGAGAGAGCCTTGTGTTAACGGGTGGATCTTGGCCAAGTACAAGATCTCGTTCTTAATGATGTTCCCTGGAAAGGGTCACAAATAAGGAGACAATAAGGATACTTCTTATCAAGACAATGCAGACCTATGGCTCCAGTCATGGTGATTTCTGCCTCTCCTCACAGCTAACAATGCCATTCCCCATATCAGAGGTGGCATACAAGGAGTAGACTTACAGCTGCGATTGGACTGGAAGATGTTCTCTTCCCATTACCCCTGAAGCAGACCTTCCTTTCTTCCACAAGTACAGGCAAATCCATAGTCACCCACACTAAGAAGTGCTCACACAGTTCACTCAAGTACATGATGCCTGAGGCTCCTTGTCCTCACCAAGATGACCACATACGCTCGGCTGGATCAATCAGAAGCCATAAGGCCAAGGAGTGAAAGGTTCAGACCTCCAGATCGGGATCTGTAGACATCCCACCCACCTTCCTCCGTTTCTTGCTCTGCCACTATGCCCTGGAACTCACCCAGCCCTGAAAAATATCTTTGGTCTAAGAGGGTGTAGCAGATGGGATCAGGTGTGCGGAGGGCATCCAGCGCCCGGCCACGGTGGAACTCCACAGACAGTATGTCAGAAGCAGGATCAGCCCTTGGAGATGAGCACCAGTGCATTCGGCAGTTGTAGAAAGCATGGAAGCCTCCACTCTCAAAGTGCAGAACCAGCCTGGGAAAAGCAAAGTTGAGGTCTCTCATCACAAACATGCCTGAACTGTTTGTCAGATTCTGCTCTGGCTGAAGAAACTTGCCCAGAAAGACACAGCAGCGTAGCGATGGAGCGAAAAGCTACTGGAAGGGGAGAAAAGAGCCTGTCCATGACATAAGCTTAGGGAGAAGCATATAGTAATGCATCAGCCCTGGCACATGTCAGCTCATTCTCCCGAGAGCCAGGGAGACATCTCAAAATACCTGTACCCTAGTCCAGCTATTCCTGCCCTGCAGTTTATCACAGCGTGTGCTGGTGTGGACAGGGTCACAGCAGGCACTCCAACACGCCAGGCCACCATAGAATCGCTAAGGTTGGAAGGGACCTTTAAGATCATCAAGTCCAACCATTAACTTGCCCTGACAAAACCACCTCTAAACCATGTCCCTAAGCACCACCTCTACCCTTTTTTAAAAAACCTCCAGGGATGGCGAATGGGGAGATGCCCCCACCATCTCCCTGGGCAGCCTATTCCAATGTTTGATAACCCTTTCAGTGAAAAAGTGTTTCCTAATATCCAATCTAAACCTCCCCTGGCATAACTTGAATCCATTTCCTCTCATCCCATCACTTTTCACCAGGGAGAAGAGGTCAGCCCCCACCTCTCTCCAACCTCCTTTCAGGTAGTTGCAGAGAGCGATAAGGTCTCCCCTCAGCCTCCTCCTCTCCAGGCTAAACAACCCCAGTTCTCTCAGTTGTTCCTCATAGGGCTTGTCCTCCAGACCCCTCCCCAGCTTTGTAGCCCTTCTCTGGACATGCTCCAACATCTCAATGTCCTTTTTGTACTGAGGGGCCCAAAACTGAACACAGCACTCGAGGTGGGGCCTCACCAGTGCCGAGTACAGGGGGATGAT